TGCCTAAAAAATGGAAAAATGTTCTACTTATCCTAAGCTGGAAAAACTGGACAAAAATGCCCCTGCGGGGTCAGTGCGGACTGCACAAAATGGTGTGCGGCCGCACTAGGCTCTTTACTCTAAAAAATCCCTCTCTGAACTCAGGCTCCGCGGACCGCACAGAATGGACTGCGGCCGCGGAGAGAACTAGCGCTGTCCGCACAAACATGACCGCGGACCGCACAGGCTTGAACCTTGGCTCTTGACATCTCTCTGAAGTTTGCTTCCGCGGACCGCATAAAATGGTGGTGCGGCCGCGGTGTCTTCAGCGCGGGCCGCACGATGTCTACTGCGGCCGCATTGCTTTGATGCCTAAAAATCCAGTCTTTGAATCTCCCTAGTGCGGACCGCACAGAATGGACTGCAGCGCACTAGGCTAGTTTGTCCTGAGTTCTCTTTGTCTTTAATACTTGTGCAGGTTTCACTCCTTTTGAGTCGATATTTGACATCTCGTCACTTTGTTGATCAAACCTGCAATCAAGAACAACTTATGAGCTTTTTGGGTCTATTTTGTAAGAATTTATAATCAAAGCGTAAGCAAGAAGGAGCATGAAACACGTCAAAATCCCTAGGTATCAGTCTCCAACAGGGTTCTATGACTGTTACTCAGTACGAGACTAGGTTCATTGATTTGGCCCGTCATGCTCTTCTTATACTTCCCGCTGAGAGAGAGAGAAAGTGAGGAGGTTCATTGGGGGACTCGTCTCAGCCAGCTAGAGGTGGAGGTCAGGCTGCTAGAGGTGGAGGTCAGGCCGCTAGAGGTGGAGGCCAGCTAGCAGCAGGCCGTGCCAGAGATGTAGTTCAGAGTGGTGGGGCCCAGCCCCGATGTTATGCTCTTCCAGCCAGGCCTGAGGCTGAGGCTTCCGATGCAGTTATCACAGTTATTCTTTGAGTGCTCCTGTTTATGTGTCTACACCGGTGGGTGATTCTATTGTGGTAGATCGTGTTCATCGTTCTTGTGTAGTTGTGATTGGGGGTCTTGAGACTCGAGTAGGTTTGTTACTTTTGGATATGGTTTTTGATGTCATATTGGGGATGGACTGGTTATCACCTTACCACGCTATCTTGGACTGTCATGCCAAGACTGTGACCTTAACCTTGCCAGGGTTGCCTCGTCTTGAGTGGAGAGGGACTCCTAGTCATTCTACCTGTAGTGTTATCTCATATATGAAGGCTCGGCGTATGGTCGAGAAGGGGCGTTTGGCCTATTTGGCATATGTTCGTGATTCCAGTGCGGAGGTTCCTTCTATGGATTCTGTGCCTGTTGTTCGGGAGTTTCTTGAGGTTTTCCCTTCAGACCTGCCGGGTATGCCACCCGATAGGGATATTGACTTCTGCATTGATTTGGCTCCGGGCACTCAGCCCATTTCTATTCCGCCATATCGTATGGCCCCGCCTGAGTTGAAAGAGTTGAAGGAGCAGTTGCAAGACTTGCTTGATAAGGGCTTTATTAGGCCTAGCGTCTCACCTTGGGGTGCGCCGGTGTTGTTTGTTAAGAAGAAGGACGGATCGATGAGAATGTGTTTATATTAACGACAATTGAGCAACGTCACAATTCAGAATAAGTACCCATTGCCGCGGATTGATGATTTGTTTGACCAGCTTCAGGGTGCCTAAGTATTTTCTAACGACTTGAGATCTGGCTACCATCAGTTGAGGATTAGGGCATCCGATGTCCTTAAGACAGCTTCCCGCACTCGGTACAGGCATTTTTAGTTCTTGGTGATGTCATTCGGATTGACAAATGCCCTAGCCGCTTTCATGGATTTGATGAACCGAGTGTTCAGGCCTTACTTGGATTCATCTTCATTGATGATATTTTTATTTATTCCCGCAACCAGGAGGAGCACGAGCAACATCTGATAGTTGTTCTTCAGACTTTGAGAGATAGTCAGTTGTATGCTAAGTTTTCGAAGTGTGAGTTCTGGTTGAGTTCAGTTGCATCCTCGGGTCACGTTGTTTCAGCAGAGGGTATTGAGGTGGATCCGAAAAAGATAGAGGCAGTCAAGAACTGGCCTCGACCCACATCAGCTATAGAGATCCGGAGTTTCTTGGGTTTGGCAGGCTATTATCGTCAGTTTGTGGAGGGGTTTTCATCTATTGCAGCCCCGATGACCAGGTTGACCCAGAAGCGTACCCAGTTTAGGTGGTCGGACGAGTGTGAGGCGAGCTTTTAGAAGCTCAAGACAGCTTTGACTACGGCGCCGATGTTGGTTTTGCCCACAGGTTCAGGGCCATATACAGTTTATTGTGATGCATCTCGTATTGGACTTTGTGCGGTGTTGATGCATGGTAGCTAGGTCATTGCTTATGCTTCACGTCAGTTGAAGATTCATGAGAAGAACTATCCAGTCCATGATTTGGAGTTAGCATCCATTGTTCACGCACTGAAGATTTGGAGGCACTATTTATATGGCGTGTCATGTGAGGTGTTCACGGATCACAAGAGTTTGCAATACTTGTTCAAGCAGAAGGAGCTAAACGTGAGGCATTAAGGTGGTTGCAGTTACTGAAAGACTATGATATCACCATCATATATCATCCGGCGAAGGCCAATGTGGTGGCCGATGCTTTGAGTAGAAAGTCAGCCAGTATGGGCAGTCTTGCGTATATTCCGGTCGATGAGAGACCGCTTGCCTTGGATGTTCAGGCATTGGCCAATTAGTTCGTGAGGTTGGATGTTTTTGAGCCCAGCCGTGTATTAGCTTGCACAATCGCTCGTTCTTCTTTATTGGAGCGTATCCGAGATCGGCAGTATGATGATCCTCATTTGTGTGTCCTTAGAGACACAGTGCAGCACGGTGGTGCCAAGTAGGTTACATTAGGAGATGATGGAGTTTTCAGGATGCAGGGTCGTATTTGTGTGCCTAATGTGGATGGACTTTGAGAGTTAATTCTAGAGGAGGCCCATAGTTCACGGTACTCTATTCATCCGGGCGCCGTTAAGATATATCAGGACTTGCGGAAGCATTATTGGTGGAGGAGGATGAAGAAGGATATTGTTGCGTATGTGGCTCGGTGTTTGAATTGTCAGCAGGTAAAGTACGAGCATCAGAGACCTGGTGATTTGTTCCAGAAGATTGAGATTCCAAAGCGGAAGTGGGAGTGTATCACCATGGACTTTGTTGTTGGACTCCCACGGACTTAGAGGAAGTTCGATGCAGTGTGGGTTATTGTTGATAGGCTGACTAATTTAGCGCATTTCATTCCCGTGGCAGTCTCCTATTCTTCTGAGAGGTTAGCTGAGATCTATATCCGGGAGATTGTTCATCTTCATGGTGTGCCCGTGTCTATCATTTCTGATCGAGGTACGCAGTTTACCTCGCATTTCTCGAGGGCAGTTCAGCGTGTGTTGGGCGGACGGGTCGAGTTGAGCATAACATTTCATCCTCAGACGGACGGGCAGTCCGAGCGTACTATTCAGATTTTGGAGGATATGCTCCGAGCTTATGTTATTGGCTTTGGAGGCTCGTGGGACCAGTTTTTGCCTTTAGCAGAGTTTGCCTACAACAACAACTACCAGTCGAGCAACCAGATGGCTCCTTATGAGGCTTTATATGGTAGATGGTGTCGGTCGCCGGTTGGATGGTTTGAGCCGGGAGAGGCTCGGTTGTTGGGTATGGATCTAGTACAGGATGCCTTGGACAAGGTCAGGATCATTCAGGACAGGCTTCGTACAGCTCAGTCCAGGCAAAGGAGTTATGCCGACCGTAAGGTTCGTGATGTGGCATTCATGGTCGGCGAGCGAGTGTTGCTTCAGGTGTCGCCTATGAAGGGCGTGATGAGATTCGGAAAGAAGGGCAAGCTTAGCCCTAGGTTCATTGGCCCGTTTGAGATTCTTGATTGAGTGGGAGAGGTGGCTTACAAACTTGCGTTGCTGCCGAGTTTATCAACTGTGCATCCAGTGTTTCACGTGTCCATGCTTCGGAAGTATCACGGCGATCCATCCCACGTGTTAGATTTCAGCACTGTCCAGTTGGACAAGGACTTGTCCTATGAGGAGGAGCCGGTAGCTATTCTAGACCTGCAGGTTCGTAAGTTGAGATCGAAGAGTTTCCCTTCTGTTCGTGTTCAGTGGAGAGGTCAGCCTGCTGAGGCATCGACCTGGGAGTCCGAGTTCGATATGTGGAGCCGATACCCCCATCTTTTCTCCGACTCAGGTACTTCCTTCTTATGTCCGTTCGAGGACGAACAGTTGTTTTAGAGGTGGAGGATGTCTCGTTTTGAAAGTAATTTATGTGTTCGAAGGCTTTAAAACCTCCTTTTTGCCTTACCTCGATTTGTGTGTGCAGTTCGGACGTGTATCCGGAAAGCCATTATGTGAAAATCTGTGAAAGATAAAAAAAAATTTGCTTTTAAAATGAATTTAAGTTGACTTCGGTCAACATTTTGGGTAAACGGACCCGGACCCGTGATTTGACGGTCCCGGAGGGTCCGTAGGAAAATATGGGACTTGGGCATAAGCCCGGAATCGAATTCCGAGGTCCCAAGCTCGAGAAATGAATTTGAAAAAAAATTATTTTCTGGAATGTATATGAGTTTTTGGAAATGAAATGTGTTTGGAATTCGATGGTATCGTGCCCGTATTTTGGTTTCGGAGCCCGGTACATGTCTTATATGTGATTTAAGTTGAGCCTGTAAAATTTGGTAAAAAACGGAGGTCATATGACGTGATTCGGAACCTTAGTTGTAAAATTTGAAACTTTGAAAGTTCTTGAGATTTTCTTTGATTTTGATGCTAAATTCATAGTTGTTGATGTTATTTTGGTGATTTGAATGCACGAGCAAGTCCGTATGATTTTTTTGGGTTAGTGTGCATGTTTGGTTTGGAGCCCCGAGGGCTCGGGTGAGTTTTGGATAGGCCACGGAGTGAAATTTGCACTTAGGAATTGCTGGTGTGTTGCAGGTCTGCAGGCTTCGCATCGAAAATGCGAGACCACAAATGCGAACGTTTATCGTAAATGCGAAAAAGACCTGGTCTGCCTTGGGGTCGCAAATGCGACGTAGTCCGTCGCATCGCAAAAGCGATATCGCAAATGCGAAGGGCCCATCGCATTTGCGAAGTGGCCTGGAATCCTTCAATGTCACAAATGCGACAATCCCATCGCAAAAGCAAGTTCGCAATTGCGAACATTAATCGCAAATGTGAAGTTAGCAGTCTTAGGGGTTCGCAATTGCGAACCATGGTCGCAATTGCGACATCTGCAACCTGCAAAATCATAACTTAGACGCATTTCAATCATTTTTCAAACCCTTTCAAAACCTAAGCACTCTTGGGCGATTTTTCAGAGACAAGTACACGTCCAAATCGATTGTAAGTCATTTCTAACTCGTTTTTATTAATCTTTAACATCTTTTCTCGTGATTTCAACTCAAAATCAAAGGTTTTCATGGGGGAAATTGGGTGTTTTGGGTAAAACTTAGGTTTTTCAAATTTTGGGGATTTGGACCTCGATTTGAGGTTTGATTTCAAAACAAATTATATATTTGAGTTTGTGGGTGAATGGGTAATCGGGTTTTGGTTTGAACCTCGGGTTTTGACCATGTGGGCCCGGGGTCGATTTTTGACTTTTTGGGAAAAACTTTAGAAAATCTATTTTCATGCATTGTAATTGATTCATTTAGTATTTATTGATATAGTTAAGTAACTTGTGGCTAGATACAAGCTAGGCGTAAAGTGATAGTTGAGGCTTGAATTGTGTTCGTGGCATCGAGGTAAGTGTTTGGTCTAACCTTAGCTTGAGGGATTTGCAGTCGTGTCCTATTTGCTATGTGTTAATTGTTGAGTACGACGTATAGGCATGGTGACGAGTCTCTATACGTTGGTGTCAAGCATGCCTGTGCGTCTTATACTATGATTAATGTGACTCTTTTGTAATGTTCATGCCTTATGTGATATTCTAATTGTTGGACAAGGCATGTGGAAGTAAATTGGGTAATTGAACATTTAAGAGCGTTGGTTCAAGTTGTGAATTGATTTGTGAAAGTACCATTGGTATTTGAACATTTAAGAGCGTTGGCTCAAGTTGTGAATTGATTTGTTAAAGTATCATTGGTATTGGAACATTGTAGAGCGTTGGCTCAAGTTGTGAATCGAATTGTGAAAGTATCATTGGTAATTGAGCATGGTAGAGCCTTGGATCAAGATGTAAATTGAATTGTGAAGTAAATGTGAAAAAGAGAAGAGGATTATGATATTGTCTCCCTTGTCGGGATGTTGTTGCTTTTAATATTGTTCCCTTGCCGGGATATTGTTGATTTTAATATTGTTCCCTTGCCGGGATGTTGTTGCTTTTAATATTGTTCCCTTGTCGGGATGTTGTTGCTTTTGATACTATTCCCTTGCCGGGATTTTCATTGTGATTTTATTGTGATTCTATTTAATTCCTTGCCCTTATTGTTTGTGATTGTTGTTTGGGTGAGGAAGAGTGTTAAAGCACGAAGGGTGATGCCATGCATGATATTTTGTGAGAGAGTGTTAATGCACGAAGGGTGATGCTGTGTCGCACGATGTACAATTTTGTGCCTTTATATGAGCGATAATGCACGAAGGATCATTCCGTGCCATGATTATGTGAGGTAAAATCACAAAGGGTGATGTCGTGCCGATTATATTGATTTTTATGGTGAGGACGAGAGTAAAAGCACGAAGGGTGATGCCGTGCACTTGTCCTTGATTTTCCTGATTCTTGTTGATAATTGAGTTATGATGTTCTTTACGTCTATTTATTGGTTTTCTGTGGTTACTTGATTTTATTGTGATGTTATTGATTCCCTTACCCAAATTGCTTTGTGATTGTTGCTTGGGTGAGGAAGGGTGTAAAGCACGAAGGGTGATGCCGTGCATGATATTTGTGAGAGAGTGTAAAGCACGAAGGGTGATGTCGTGCACTAGTCTTTGATTTTCTGATTCTTGCTGATAATTTAGTATAGTGTTCACATTTATCTATTGGATTTCCGTTGTGACTTGATATTTCCCCGCAGTATGTTTCCCCTTCCTATCTTTAATTGTAAAGTTATGCCTTTATTTTCCGATGTACATGATTTAACTGCACAGGTTTATTCAGTAGTCTGGTCCTAGCCTCGTCACTACTTCGCCGGGGTTAGGCCAGGCACTTACCAGCACATGGGGTCGGTTGTGCTGATACTACACTCTGCACTCTTTTGTGCAGATCCCGATACTGTAGTTTTGGGACCGCAGTAAGGTTGCTGCTTCCAGTTCACCAGGCGACCCGAGGTAGTCCTACAGGCGTCCGCAGGCCTTAGCGTCTTCTTCTATCCTTTCATTCTGTTTCTTTTATGTATTTCAGAGACAGCATTGTATTTATCTTTCGAACCCTTATTTGTAGTATTCTTAGACAGTCTGTGAAATTGTGACACCAGTCCTGGGTAGTCTATGTTTAAGGAATTGTATTGGTAATATTTTAATGGTTATAATTTGTTCTTCCGCTTATTTAATTCCGCTGATTACATAATGTTGATTCATAACTGTTAAAGGATTAAAAATGAGAAAAAGTTAAATAGTTGAAATATTGGCTTGCCTAGCTTTCACCAGTAGGCGCCATCATGACTCCCGAGGATGAGAAATCCGGGTCGTGACAAGAATCTTGAGGGATTATGCTAGACTTGATCGCTTCAATTGTGAATCTAGTGTCAGGAAGCCCCCAGTGGAAGCTAACAAATTTGAAATCAGGACGACCTGATTCAAATAATTCAACAATCTTGTATCTTCACTGGTGATACAAGTGAAGTCCCACATAGTCATTTAATTGATTTTCTAGAACTTGTAGAAACTGCTAAGTACAATAGGGTACCTCCTGAAGCCATCAAGTTAAGGCTATTTCCTTTTTCTTTAAAAGGAGATGCCAAAACTTGGTTGCGAAGTTTGCCTCAAGGGTCCATTATGACATGGGACCAGATGACTCAGAAGTTTTTAAACAAATATTTTTCCCCTGCTAAAACAATAAAGTTAAGACAAGGCATATCTAATTTCTTGCAGACTGACACTGAGTCAGTTTATCAAGCTTGGGAAAGATTAAAAGCAATGTTAAGAAAATGCCCACACCATGACATTCCTGAACATATGCAATTCTAGATTTTCTATCACGGGCTAAAACCCTCTGCTAGAAATGTGATAGATGCAGCTGCAGGAGGTTCTGTCATGGGAAAAACCACAGAAGAAGCATTGCAGCTGTTGAATGAAATTTATGAGAACGCTATCCATTGGCCATCTGAGCATGTAATCATTAAAAAGGTGCTACGGTAAATTAGGTTGATGCTTTAAATACACTAGCGCAACAGATTGTTTCTTTGGCACAAAAGTTTGAATCTTTTCAGGTGAAGACACAACAATCAAACCAATCCAAGGCTTGTGACATGTGCGGAGGAAACCACCAGAACCATGAATGTCAAGCAACCAATCAAACGGATGAACAGGTTAATGTCATCGGTTACAAGCCATATACTTTTGGGAGTCCTATGGCACAGAAGCATCCAGGATGTCAGTGGAGTAACCCAAACGGTGCAGAAAACTCTCAAAGCTTCCAGAAACAACAGGTACAGGGTCCGCCGGGATACCAGAATCAAAATCGTGGGAAACCAAGTTACAGACCTTATCAGCAAGCAGGACCATATCAACAAGCAAGGTCATACCAGCAGAGGCCCCAACAAGCTCATTCAAGTCTTGATGACCTTTTATACAAGTATATCAAGGTTCCTGATGAAAAGATGAAAAGCCAAAATTCATCCCTAAAAAATCTGGAAATTCAGTTAAGCCAATTGGCAGCTCTTGTGTCAGAAAAGATTCAGGGTCCCTTACCAAGCAATACAGAGAAAAATCCAAATGAGCACCTTAAGGCCATCACTTTACGGTCAGGTAAGGAACTTGATGAACCTTATGCAGAGAGACAAGAAAAGAACCAGACAGAACAACAGGTAGACAAGGGTAAGAATTTTGAAAAACCATCTGAACCATCAAAAGAGAAAGAAATAAAGAATAAGGAAGAAAAAATTTCTGAAAAAATGGCTGCCCCACCTGTGACAATTCCTTTTCCACAAAAAATAAAACGAGAAAAGCTTGATGGTCAATTTGCAAAATTTTTGGAAATTTTAAAACAGATTCATATTAATATTCCTTTTACTGATGCTTTGTTGCAAATGCCTTCATATGCTAAATTTTTAAAAGAAATTTTGTCAAGTAAAAGGAAATTGGAAGAAGTTTCTGTGGTAATGCTTACTGAAAAATACAGTGCTATACTTCAAAATAAGCTACAACAAAAACTTGGTGATCCTGGTAGTTTTACCATTCCATGCACTTTGGGAGGTGTATATTTTGAAAAAGCACTTTGCGATTCTGGAGCTTCAATAAATTTGATGCCATTTTCTATCTTTAGAAAATTGGATCTTGGTGAAATGAAGGACATAGGTGTTTCTCTTCAGTTTGCAGATTAAAGTACTAAGAAATATAAGGGAATAATTGAAAATGTGCTTGTAAGAGTAGATAAGTTTGTGTTCCATGAAGATTTTATAGTGCTTGAAATGAAAGAATGTCCTGATGAACGAATAATTTTAGATAGACCATTTCTTGCTACAGGAAGAGCAATCATAGATGTTCATCAAGGGCAACTATTTTTGAAAGTTGATGAAGAAAGAGTCATTTTTGATATGCAAAAGATACTAAGATTTTCAGGAGATGAGGCATCATCTTCATGCTTTTCTATTGACATGATTAGTGATCTTGCAGATGAATTCAAAGATGATAAATTAATTTCAGACTCAATGGAAAGATGTTTGACCAAATCAGGCACCGCACAAGATGATGATCCCACAATTAGGAGAGAAGCTGAAATACTGGAAAAAGATTCAGAGGATAAGGAGATGCAATCAAAAGAAGTTCAACCAAAAATTGAACTTAAAGTTCTTCCCCATCATTTAAAATATGTTTATCTTGAGCAAGAACTATTTCGAGTAATTATTTCATCTTCTTTAACTGCAGAACCAAAAAAAAGACTTATTCAAGTCTTAAAAGCACACAAAGGAGCTTTAGGGTGGACTGTAGAGGATATCAAAGGGATTAGTCCAGCAATTTGTACACATAGAATCCTCATGGAGGATAGCTACAAGACAATAATCCAACCCCAAAGGAGATTAAATCCTGCAATGCGGGAAGTGGTGAAAAAGGAGATTGTCAAGCTTCTAGCGGCAGGTATTATTTACCTAATTTCAGATAGCCCTTGGGTAAGTCCAGTTCAGGTAGTACGAAAGAAAGGAGGTATGACAGTTATAAAGAATGAAAATAATGAACTCATACTACAAGGACTGTTACAGGATGGAGAGTCTGTATTGATTATAGACGTCTCAATGATGCTACCAGAAAAGATCATTTTCCTTTACCATTTATTGATCAAATGTTAGAAAGAATTGCAGGATATGGTTTTTACTATTTTCTTGATGGCTATTCAGGGTATAACCAAATACCAATTGCACCCGAAGATCAGGATAAGACAACTTTCACATATCCTCATGGAATATATGCCTATAGGAGAATGCCATTTGGTCTGTGCAACGCCCCTGCTACATTTCGACGTTGCATGTCAGTAATTTTTTCGGACATGACTGAAAAATTTCTTGAAATTTTTATGGATGATTTTACACTCTTTGGCAAAACATTTTAAGATTGTCTTTACCACTTGACTTTAGTTCTTAAGAGATGTGAAGACACAAACTTGATTCTAAATTGGGAAAAATGTCATTTTATGGTTACAGAGGGAATTATTTTAGGACATAAAATCACTGCTAATGGGATGGAAGTTGATAAGGCTAAAATTAATCTTATAGCAAGATTACCCCCTCCCGCAACTGTTAAAGGCATTAGAAGCTTTCTAGTTCATGCAGGTTTTTACAGACGGTTCGTAAAGGATTTTTCAAAGATTTCAAAACCTTTGACTAACCTCTTGATGAAAGATATTTTGATTTTTCAGGTGATTGTATGATAGATTTTGACACACTTAAGGAGAAATTATCAACTGCTCCTGTAATTGTGTCCCATGATTGGAGTCAACCTTTTGAGGTTATGTGTGATGCTAGTGATACGGCAGTTGGAGCTGTTTTAGGCCAAAGAAAGGATAAGATTTTTCGTCCCATTTACTATGCCAGTAGAACACTAAATGAGGCTCAACTGAATTATGCCACAACAGAAAAAGCGTTACTAGCAGTAGTATTTGCATTTGATAAATTTCGTTCTTATTTGATAGGAACGAAGGTAACTATTTTTACTGACCATGCAGCTTTAAAATACCTCTTAGCAAAAAAAGATGCTCGACCTAGATTGTTAAGATGGATTTTACTTCTGCAAGAATTTGACCTTGAGATAAAAGACAAAAAAGGAACAGAAAATCAGGTAGCTGACCATTTGTCTAGACTAGAAGACCCTCCCCTTGAGTTCAGCGAGATAAAAGAAGAATTTCCTGATGAACACATTTTTTCAGTCGACTCTGTTGTGACTCAACCACCCTGGTTCACAGATATTGCTAACTACTTGGTTGGAAGATGGACACCCAAGATCTCACTTACCAACAAAGAAAAAAGCTTATTTATGATGCTAAGCATTATTTGTGGAATGAACCTTACTTGTTCAAAATTTGTGCAGATAATATCATCAGGAGGTGTGTACCTAAAGAAGAAATGACAAAAATTTTGTATCACTGCCATGATGGAGCAATTGGAGGTCATTATGCTGCAAACCGTACGGCATTTAAAGTATTGGAGGCTGGATTTTTCTGGCCAACACTCTTCAAAGATGCCCGAGCATATGTCACACAATGTGACAGGTGTCAGAAAACAGGTAATATTACTAAGAGAGATGATATGCCTTTGCAATCAATACAGGTATGTGAAATATTTGATGTTTGGAGAATAAATTTCATGTATCCTTTTCCTTCTTCTCATTCGTTTGAATATATCCTTGTGGCTGTGGATTATGTATCAAGATGGGTTGAGGCCATCCCCACAAGGAAGAATGATGCTCATACAGTGTGTAATTTTCTTAGAATAAATATTTTTACTAGATTTGGCACACCTCGAGTCATCATTAGTGATCAAGGGACTCATTTCATGAATAGGCAATTTTCTACTTTGCTATCAAAATATGGTGTGACTCACAAAACTGGAACACCATATCATGCTCAAACACAGGGGCAAGTTGAAGTTTCCAACCACGAGTTAAAAAGAATTCTTGAAAAGACGGTTGGAATTTCAAGAAAAGACTGGTCTTTAAAATTAGATGATGCACTATGGGCATACCGAACGGCATTCAAAACGCCAATTGGAACATCCCCATATAAATTAGTCTTTGAAAAGTCTTGCCATTTGCCAGTTGAACTAGAACACAAAGCTTTTTGGGCACTGAAAGCATTAAACTTTGAATTAACCTCTGCTGGTAAAAAGAGATTGTTTCAGGTTAATGAATTGGAAGAACTGAGGTTGGAAGCTTATGAAAATGCTAGAATATTCAAAGAAAAAAAAAATATGGCATGACAATTTGATCCGATAAAAAAGTTTCAAAATTGGAGATCAAGTACTTCTTTATAATAGCAGGCTGAGGTTATTTCCAGGGAAATTAAAATCTAGGTGGACAGGTCCTTATAATGTTACAGATGTTACTCTATATGGGGCAATTGAAATTCAACAGATCAATGGAGGAGACAAATTTAAGGTAAATGGTCACAGGTTAAAGTTGTATTTTGGAGGACATTTTGAGCAACAACCATCGGTAACCTTGATAGCCTAATACATTCCGATGTTAATAAGTCGAGCTGACGACATTAAACTCAGAACTATAATTTTCTTACCCGTAGCCATTGAGGGTGAAGCAATGGAGCCTCATAAGCCCAATATAATTTGTATGAATAAATGCTTAACCAATTGATCTGGTTAATATCCAGATTATTGTACAACCAGGACATCCCATGAAGGCCTCTACAAAAACAGAGCCATCTATATAGGAGTAACTCCATGGTGGTCGGTATGCCTAAGTTACTGGTTGGTTAACCATCTAATTGTATAAATTAATTATTGGCTCAGGTAAATTTTTGGTATATATCAAAACCTGGACCCCATGACTGATAATGTCTAAAAGCTAGTCCAGTCTATTACACATAGAATATGTGTGATCGCAGTTTCTTTCAAGCTTTCTTCTGTGACTGTAAATTTGAAAGCTAAAAAGATTTTTATTTTATTTTTTCAAAAATTTCTTTAGTACTTTATGTATTTACAATATATATATATATATATATATATATATATATATATATATATATATATATATATATATATATATATATATATACACATATATATGTTATAATAAATTTTTTCTTCTTACTGATTGTGTCACTGTAGGTTTTTAATTAGTAAAATGTAACGACCCGACCGGTCGTTTTGAGCTCTAGCGCGTCATGCAGCAGTTTGAGGCCATGAGCAGCTCCACTTCTGGTATTATGACTTGTACACATGGTCGAAATTGAATTTTGGAAAGTTCGGAGTTGATTTGGAAAGAGAATTCTCATTTTGGAAGCTTTAAGTTGAAAGAATTGACTAAGATTGGATTTTTTAGTAAACGGTCTCGGAATCGGGATTCGAAGGTTCCAGCAGATTCGTATGATGATTTCGGACTTGGGCGTATGTCCGGATTGGATTTTGGAAGACCTGGGAACATTTCAGCACCTATTGTGGAAGTTAGCATTTTTGGAAGAATTTCATTAGTTTGGGTTGACGTGAATTTTAGTGTTATCAATATTCCTTTGGGATTTCGAGTCTAGGAATATCTCCATGTGGTGATTCTGGTGTTGGGAGCGCGATCGAAAGTGAATTCGGAGGTCCGTGGGTCATTTTGGAGTCATTTGGCTAAATATAGAAATTTGAAGGTTATTGAGGAGTTTGACCGGAAGTGGACTTTTTGATATTGGGGTTGGATTTCAATTCCGGAAGTTGGAGTAGGTCTGTAATGTCGAACATGACTTGTGTGCAAAATTTGAGGTCACTCGGACGTGAGTGGATAGGTTTCGGCATCGAATATAGAAGCTTGAAATTTAAAGTTCACTAAGCTTGGATCGGAGTGCGATTCATGATTTTAGCATTGTTTGACGTGATTTGAGGCTTCGAGCAGGTCCGTGTTATGTTAGGGGACCGAGTTGTGTGATTGGACGGGGTCCCGGGGGCCTCGTGTGTGTTTCGGGATGGTTTCGGAGCATTTTGGGCTGTGTTGGAACTGCTGATGCTGGTGTCTGGTGTTGTTCTTCGCGTCCACGATGATCATCTCGCGTTCCCGAAGAAGGATTTGGCTTCTGGGATTTTGTTCTTCGCGTTCGCTGGAGGATTCTCGCGTTCGCGAAGAAGAAGAATTTTTGATCGCAGGTCTTACTTCGGAGGCTCATATCTCACAAGCTACAAGA